CTAGCTTCCGGTTGCTGTGAGTGGTGGTTTTCCTGTTTCCCGTATCAGCACCGGGTGAATGCCGGAGCAGTACTGCAAAAAATGGGCCTTTCACAGTTGCCCTACTCCACATTGCATCTTTCCTTCCCCTTCTCGTTCCAAACTTTCGCTACCAGGTCTAGAGCTGAGGTGGAACCGCTTTGTGGGAAATTTCTGGAGCAAGGAAACTCTTCTCGAAATTCGAAGGTGAGAAACACTGCCCCCTGCCGAGATGACTAGCACAACATTGTTGTCAGTTGAACCAAGTTCCTGGTGAATTTTAAGTCTTCGGTATTTTTAATACCAGAATTTTAAGTCTAAGGTAATTGATGTACGATTTAAAATTCCTACTATTTTTATTCCTTAATTTAAAACTAACAATACAAATATGACAAATAACTACGATAGTGGTGAAAACTGCCTAAGGGGTGACGTAGGATGAGAGAGGATTGAACGTCTTAGCCTTCCATTTAGTTTAATATAAAATGAATAGATACAGAGTTAAGGGTAACGAACTTCCTTCGCGGGTTAAAAACATATTAAAGTTATATTACGAATTTAAGTCAATTGACTGGCATATACATTTAATCACGTGGCAACGCTGATTAATGGCCGCAGCGGTGGGCGCGCCCGAAACCGAAACCAATCCATGAGTCGTTGGGCCGCGCGCGTGTGGTGTGTGAGGGGGGGGCGGTTTGGCGCGCGGCCACCGCCTTCTGTCGCCGAGCGCCTCCGGCTGCCGCTGCCGCTGGCCCTCGCGTCGTCAATCGGCGCCGAAAGCCTCTGCTCGCGCACCTGTTGCGGCGCCGCGGGGGCTGCGGCTGGCCGCTGATGAATCGCACGCCTCATGAAGGTGATGAAGCTGTTGCAGCTGGGGCTCGTTGCGGACTTGCTAGATAATCGTTTCGTCTCTTCGGGGCGTCACATGAATTGGATGAGTTAAGGCTGGCTCTTAACGGAGGAAAGTGTTCTTGTCAGTCGTCCCTCCGCGTTTCTAATTCGCCGTCGTTGGGTGGATCTGCGATTACGGCCCTTTCTAACTTTATTTAGTATTACATGCGGAGTATCCAGCTTCAAATGGACTCCGATCTGACGCACAGGTGTTAACGAAGATCGCTGCCTCAAAATAATTAGTTTTCTGTACTGTGCAGGGGAAATAGAATTTGCCCTCACTGTTTGTTTGGAAAGTGTTATTTTTCGTACGCGAACAGCAAAGAAGAGGTCTTATGAACAACACGGTAATACTATAAGTAAACAACACATTGAGGCGACTTGAAAAATGTACTGCCGTCTCGCATATTGAAAATATACCAACGTTAAATACTTGTATATTTTCGTGAATTCGTGATAAAAAGATAGATACGCGTCTCATACGTGTCCGGTGCACTCCTTTCAAAATTCCGGTCTCGGCTCCTATCATCGCGTCGTCCGTCAATGTTTCTTTCGTACGCGTAAGACCTGCCTTCTCTTCCAGTAACGTAAATAGCTATACCGAAATGATTGTAAAAACAGTTGGAAGATTCCACGTTTATGCCAGTATTTTACATTGTCACCTTTTAAATGTTTCACTATAACCTGTGTAAATGGAAAAATGGGAAGTTCATGTACTCCCTAATGATTATTGTGTACACGCAGTGGGAAAAATTAACGTAGGAATTTTAGATCCAGTCGATGAACTTTATTGAAGCTTTTTGTAAAGGTGTCGATATACTTTACGCAGGAACATCAAAGTGCCTCGAGGAAATTTCAGACTCATTGGAGCAAATGAGCATTGAAGCTTTGCACTTGATCTTCGCTTGCCCTTGGGAGTGACGCTTTCAATGCGGCTAGCCGCCAGCGCGGACGTCGGAAGTCTGTTTTTGATGACCGTCATAAAACTTCGTACGACTGCAGTTTTACTCTCGTCAAATGTGCAGGATGGGCAGTGTAGTTTGCGAAGCATCAGAGCAGTAGGTGGTGCAAAAGTGATTCTGAGAAATCGCAAAAAGCACTCTTCGGCGTATGCCAGTGTTTTCTTTGTGTATCGTTTTTTAATACGTTGACTTCGTTGACCCAGTCATTTTAAAATGGGAAGTAATTTCCTTCTTAAAGAAAGTTGTAGATGTCATGAAGTATGGAATGGTTTTATTTGAAAGAGTTTTTTCTTTCTGTAAATTGTGAAAAAATTTCTTCAGATGCCTTCGAAGCTGCGTAAACAGGAATCGCGTTGTAGATAACAATAGCGGCAAGTTGTTGTGCGGTCGATTACTACACAAGACCATGCTACTCTGTATGATTGCGCTGCGTTAGCGCAATGATACGTCGCTGACTGTTATCTTGGTGTGGTAATCACTATATGAGCTATATATCTTTTGTGGGAAGAAAATATCATTTCTGTAATTTAATTTAGCGATATAGATATTTTTAATTTGAGAAAATCGTCCTGATGGCTGTTATTATGATTATTGTACAAGATGGTAGTATCTTCTTATGAAAATGAGCCTATTCAAGAGAACTTATACAGAGATAGAGGAAATAACTCAAACACAAGATAAATTGTACGCTGGGATACGATGAGTCAGACTAGGATCTTTCTCATTTTGACATGTGTCAAAGTTCTCTACACGAACCCTCCTTTTTTTCCCGAAGCGAACTCTTCACTTGTCATTCATAGATTTACAGAGTTTACCTTTGTCGGTAACTGTAACTATGTCATTTTCAATAGGACCAGCTAGTGAATAATATATTTTGTAATTTTTTTTTTGCATGAAGTGAAAATTTGAGTGAGCCCGTCAGATGGTTTTCGTTAGCATTTCCGAATCGATTGTTGCTGTTAACGCTGCACAAAAAGTGAAAATTTAAATGTATCGTGTTGAACGGAAAGAAAAGCTTCTTGCTTGAGGTTATTTTACGAACGCAATCAGTTTACTTCGTACGTGTTAGTCGAAATGACTGCCACTCTGTAAGCGAGTCTTACATTTCAAACGGAAGGCTGTACTTTTTTTAATGATATCTGAATCAACACACCCTTCAAGTATGTTATAACACGTTCCTGTTTTATCGTTGACGTAATTGTGCTCGGAAAATTGGTGGAATTTCATCCAATAGAAGCATTTATGGTGAAAATTCCTTTTTAAAGATAGTGATCGCGAACAATTGTTCTGAACTGAGGCAAAGAGTGTAGACGAGATTGTGATGTGTAGTTCCTAGTTTTCGATTATTTTTGACTGTGTGGGAATAAGCGTGCTTCGATGGCGCAGGAGCAGCTGAATTTAGCTCAGACCCAGACTTAGCAGCGACTCTGACAGGGGGGTCGTAGGGCTTGAGTCCCGACGGTGGCGAATTTTGATCGAAGATTTGATGAAGATCGAATTTTGTCTGTGTCTGTAGAATTCTAGCGGCCGACTGTTCTGCTCTAAAGTTTTTCGTGGTTTCTCCGATCAATATCAGGCGAATACCGAGACAGTATCCTTACAAATGGGCTAGGGGTGGTGCGAGATCTTTCGTCTTCTTCCATGTCCTATTCTCTCCTCTTAAATACACACACACACACACACACACACACACACACACACACACTCTTAATTTGACTACACTACCGTACATAACAACAGACCATCCGGGAGCTTAGAGGTAGTCTCGCCGGGGCGGTGCCCCTCTATGGGAGATTGGAGGAGGGGATTCCCCCGCAAGCTAAAATGCTGGTCTGGGCCGAATCTCAGGTTTCAGCGGGGAGAAACACCGCCACCTCCAGGCGTAAACACATTCACTACCCTAACGGGAGCGGTTGTGTCCGGAAACACCAGTTAATTCGATGGCACAGAGGCTTGGAGTGAAGCCGAAGGGCGGCGGTGTGAGCGTGTTTACCTTAATGCCGTATTCACCTTTCATGCTCGAGGGCTTTTTCGTGACCTCTCCCCTCCCCTCGCCATCATGCAGGTCCCGCTAACATTCAGATGGATCATGTGGAATCCTGCAATTACACCAAACTGTACAAGGCTGTGCAGGGGGGAGGGAAGTTCGTCCCCTTGCGACATCCTCTTTGGGATCACGTCGTCAGAATGCGAGGTCCTTTTCAACTTGTACCCGAAGACCCGGGTGGGGCCGCTTTGTCAGGTGCAAGCTCAGCTGCTTCGCAGGTTGGAAAGCCATACGCCAGTCGCACTCGCACGCGTCCGGAGTGGGGGCGCTCAACCCACCTCCTCAGGGCGCCACACCGAGCAACTGGGCAAAGGGACGGGAGTTCCCAGTTCCCCCGCCATCATTTTATGACGACTAGGGATTGAACTTTTAGTTGCTACAAAACCGGAAAATATATATTTTTATGTGCAGAAAAGGTAGTGAGATGTTTCGAAGTAGAACGCGACGGCATCCTCTTTATTCTGCACATTTCGACTGTGCAATCTGAGAAAGTTTGGAAGCTGTTCGTATTGCGAATATCGCTCGGTGTGTCATTGAACCGACAGTAGGCCCTTTCGACCTGACGACGGGCCCCATCCCTGGACCTCCTGACGTTTCAATAGGACGTGAATCAGGTTCACTGCACTTAATCGGGGATGTCACTTAGTAACATGTGTTGTGTGACCAGGGACGGATCTAGCCCATCATTTGAGGGGGGAGCGTCATAGATCTATGTTAAATAGTAAACATTTGTTATATTATCTATTAATGTACTGTAGATATGCTGTACAATATTTTTCTTTTGAACATTCGAACATAAATATTTAAAACAATTTTGCCTAGTAAAGGAAGGTAAACGAAAATTCTAGGCATTTTGGGGGAGGGGCCTGGCCCTACCACGGATCCGCCAGTGTGTGTGACCAACCACTGTATTTGAAACTGGCACGTCTTACACAATATTTCCAGAAGCTGCAAAGTATTAAACATAAAAATACTCAAAATCTTCAATAAATCATTAAAAATTAGCGAAGTATGTAATATTACTTGTTTGGACGACAATCATCATTTGTTGATGATAACCAAAAGTGTTCTTTACGTTTCAGAGCTGGAGCTGGGCGGACAGGCGGCGATGGTGGAGGGGCGCGCGGAGGCCGAGGCGAACGGCGGCGCGGCGGGCGCGGGCGGCGAGGCCCTGTCCTTCTGCGACGAGCGCCTGCCCGGCGCCGCGCTGCAGGCGCTGCACCTGATGCAGCGCTCGCGGCGCTTCTGCGACGTGGTGCTGCACGTGGGCGGCGGCGCCGAGCTGCACGCGCACCGCGCCGTGCTCGCCGCTGCCAGCCCGCACCTGCTCGAGCTGTTCAGCGCCGACGAGGAGGTGACGGCCATGCGGCCGCAGCAGGCGCCCGCCGCGCAGGCCGCCGCGCTGCGCTCCTACTCGCTCAACGGCGCCTGCGACCGCGCCGCGCTCGAGAAGCTCGTCGACTACGCCTACACCGCACGGTACGTTCCAGCATTCAACACCGACACATAAAACCAAAGCAAATTGACGTAAAAAAAGTTATCGAAACCAGTTCACATAACAACTCAAACTGTTGTATACGTTACTGATGTAGTTCAGACTTCTTATATTCGTTCGAACTTCACGTTTGGACTGTTCCAAAAAATCTCTCTTTAGTTATCGCGAAATCGGCCGAATCGACAATGGTGCTGATGGACATTACAGGAACCTTACTCATACCTGCTGACATGTCTATTTATGGGCGTAGAAATCGAATAGGCTACTCACTAATTATGTAGAGAACATTTGTTGCATCTCTTAAATATTATTTGAAGCTAGTGCCATTAAAATATTAAAATCAATTAAATAGGCGAAAATGCTTTAAAAATAACCGAAATAGGTAAAAAATGTCTTATCAGACGTTGAAAAATCCAAAAAATAAGTCTTATAAAAATGCGTCATGTACCATTGTCATAAAATAAATTTGTCAATACAAAAGGCATCGTTTTAAAGTAAAAAGGAAAAAATTACATTTCGTTAAAATCTGCCCCCTACTCATAATTTTGGTTTAACACTTTGTAGTGAAGATGCGCCTGTGGTGAGGGTGCGAATTAGAGATATTTTAAGATTGTCTCCCCCCCCCCTAGAGTTTGCTGTCTCCTGCTAGAAAAAAACAACTAAGTCTCCCTAATAGACAATAAATTATTTTATCTACCCTCATTTACGATTTCCACACTGAAATATTCACTGCAACACATTTGCATTTCACCGAAAATTCGTCGGAATGTTACAAACTTCGATGCGTAAACTGATCCCCCTTTCACATAAGGATTGGTCCTCTGAAAAAAGTGTGAATTCGCGCCCTGTCGGGATTAAAATATCAGCGTTCAAGTGGAAATACAGAGTACGCGCAGCCTTCATTTTATTCGTGAGAAGAATACGCGTGTTGTAAAGCGATGCTTAATGCATCCCGCTTTACAGGGCAGCATTTGCATCTAGCGGTTGCAGCGCCCCTGAATTTTTGTTTGGGTAGCATCATTTTTCACGCGCAGGCTGGTATCTTTCTTCAGGATTCGCCCACGAATATTTTGCAAGAAGCTTACACAGCAAGTAGTATTGGGCATAGCCACATCAGCCAGCTGCCATTCGCAAACTAAAATGGTAGGGAGCGGGCATACTTCTTTTCTTTCCACAGCCGGCGACGAAGGAGCGTTAGTTGTGCCTGACATTGCCAGGTCACGGAGAGGCGGGGGGAAGTTAACCGCAAATTCAGTTCTTTGGCCACGCCGTTGGCGGAGCGTGTCGGCGCAGTTCTAGTGGGCGCCGGGGGCGACTGTCTTGCGGATGGTCTCGCGGGGGGGGGGGGGGGGGTGCTCCACTAATCCTCGGGTAGCAGCCGCGCCGCACCGCGGCTTCTCGCGGAACCACGATTCCTACTTTGCAACGGCGTCTTGAAAAAAAAGTGTGAAGACGCAGGAAGGGGAAGAAAAGGAGGGAGCGAACGACAAAAGCCGAAGCGTGGAAGATTCCATTTCATGTATATTTTTCTCCTTAAGGAATTAAAGTATGCAATTAGAGGCATAGTCAGACAACGGATTAAAAACACAAGTATGTGGAAAAAGGGGGATCATTGGGAAGATATGTATTTAAAGTGACTTTTCATTTTAAGCTGGTTAAATAGGAAGGACAGGCTCTGGGTACTATATAGTTTACACATGGACGCAAATTGTATTTTATTCTTTTTCGATTGTTGGTTTCGCCATTTAGAATAAGTGACGAAATATCTATATCAATCAAGTGGCATTGTGCCGAGCAACAGGTAGTGCGTGCCATTGAAGCTTATTCTTGGCAAATGCCGTAGCATTTGGCCTACAGCTCGCAATGACCGGTCGCCCCGGAACGACAGGGAATAAGTCAAACGAGGAGGGTAATTGCGTTGGCAGTGACGCACGAAAGCGTATTTTCTGCTTTTGCATAACGAGATTTTTATTCTGCGACCTGGAGATTGCGTGCTGTCGCGACGCGGCGGCCGGCGCCACGCGCGCTGAGACTTACTCTTGATGTCCCCGACGGCGTCGCTTTTGGAAAAGACTAGGTAGATCTGTCGTTGCTTTTTTATGTCAGGTTTATTTTGATTAACATTTTAAACGTTTGTGTTTTTGTGTATTGTTGTGGTATCTGATCTGTTGGCACTCACGTCGTCCCACCCATCTGTGGCACAAACCATATAACAAAAGAAACATGAATGGAATGCGCGTATTTGAATGAAATAGAAATACGTTCGTAGTAGCAGTCCCGCGATATATGCAAACCGTATCTGTGTTTCGGTGTAAATTGCTTTTGAAATTTCGCGTTGGCAGGAATCGACTTACGTTGGGCACCGTGACCTAAGACCGATGCCCGAGCTTAAAATCCAATAGACGATACCGAGGTTTTTGAAAGCTCGCTGGTGGTCCCCCCATCGCCCATTGGCTGTGTGCTTGCGTAGGCTGGAGGTGAAGGGGCACCAGGTGGCGTCTGTGTACCGTGCGGCGTCGCTGCTGCGCATGGACCGCTGCGCCAGGGAGTGCGCGCGCCACCTCCTGCGCCACCTCACCGTCGACAACTGCCTGCAGACGCGCGCGCTGCCCGGCCTGGCGCACGACCGCGCCTTCGCCGAGCAGATCGACGCCTTCATTGCTCGCGAGGTGAGCCCCTCGCCCCCACGCCTGAGAAGTGGGAAGTCAAATCAAACATTTGTCTGTTCAGTCAATAGAGAAAATGTTTATTATTATTATTATTATTATTATTATTATTATTATTATTATTATTATTATTATTATTATTATTCCGGGTTTCTGGGTATCTAGCGAAACCACACCTCTCAGAAAGCTACTAACAGCAGTTTTTTTTTCTTCACTTTTGTACCCATTGCAATATTACAATATAGATTTCCAGTGCAACTCCAACAGTGAGGACACGCATTGATTCTATGGTGTAGCCATTTCTGTTTTTTTAAACTTTTATTTCTATTTTTTATACTGTGTACCTTTAATACTGAAGGTATGTACCTGTGTATAGTCAGAGGATTTTAAGAATCTTCCTTATTGCCTTTTCCGTTATGTACCCATCTCCATGGTCATATGTACAGTTAATGTAACCTGTGAATGTGACAAAAATGTTAATGGAAATATTTGTTATTCTGTTTTTATGTAGTTTGATGCTGTCTCGAAATCAAAGATTCTCCTTTCTCTGGTTTGTGTACGTGTGGAAGTGTTGAACCAGACCCGCCAGGAAATGTCTTTGGTGGTGGGTGATTCTATTAGTCGGCTGGCTCTTGATTGGATGAAGCGTCAGTTTGCAGATGATGATAATCTGCAATTGGACAAACTTACTGAGAAGGTAAGCATTTCAAAGAAACTATGGAAGTGTGAAACGAGAATTAATTGATAAAACACAAGATGGAGAAAGTGCAATAGCTCAAATAGAATATAAATTTCTTGATAATTCAGAACAATGAAGGTAAAATGAAATCCGACAAAGTAACATTTATCTTGTGACCTTTTTAACAGAGTATGAAAGTTTATTTATTGTGCATAAATACGATATAAAAATGCCAATGGTGTTCTTTAAATTTGACTAGTTATTTCAGTAACGTAAATTTACATCTCCATGTTTGCTGGCATGCCCAACATTCAGAGCATTGTTTAGCAGTATAATCAATGTGTTACATGAATCTTAATTTTGATTTTTAAAAAATTTCAGAAAAATGTCTTATCCTGAATTTATTCTGTTGCAGACTCACTTGCTGTATCTAGCAATGGACAATTCGCTTCAGGACTGTACAGAAATGCCCACTAGTGATCTCAGTGACACAGAAATTGTGCAAGATTACAAGAAACTATCACTAAAGAACCATACTAATACAAAGGTAAGGACTGTTTCATTAGAAAGTTTCCTTTTCTTCACCTTTCTTTCTCTTGCTTTCCCTTTTCTTTGCCTTTTCTTTTTATCCTTTTCCCTTTCTTTGCCTTTTCTTTTTATCCTTTTCCCTTTCTTTGCCTTTTCTTAATACAGTAATAGCAATAAATTTGTAGTTTATGATGTACTTGAAATGAGCATTTTATTACGTATACACCACAAACTTCCAGATGTAATGCACATGCCTCTGTGGTGTTTTGATTGCTCTAAAATTTTAAGCATTAAAACATTAAAATTAGCTGTAGGTGGCTCTAATAGGTAGTTTACCGTGGTATTTTTGACCAACACCAGACAAATGCCAGGACAATACGCCAGAAAAACAGACTATAAACCATGTTTGATCCTTTCCTTAGTCTTCCTTGTCCTATCTTCAACTCCTTATACACACTTACATGCACTACACTACCACACATGCCAGAAAAACGGTTGGGAGCTTAGAGCTTGTTTCGGCTGGGGCAGAGCCCTGCTGGTGGATAATTCCTGGTTGGGGAAAATCCCTGCAAGATGATGTAGGTCAGAGCTGAATCTCTCCAGCCAGAATGCATAATTGCTTAATTGGGATTAATTGAATAATCAATACTTTTTGAATGCAACCTAAATGTTATATTTAACTATAATCCCTATTCAGCCCCATCGTGGGAGATCACCTCCACCTCCCACGATGAAAACATGCCTTACACTTATGGGACTAGGAACATTAACTGTTGATGTGCCCAGTATAACTAATCAACCAATCAATCAAAATTGTTGATGTGAGATTATAGTTAGCGAAGGTAAAATAGTAAATTTGTAAATTTTGAAGAGCGACTGAAGTGCAAAGTGCAAGGGTATACAGGTAAATGCAATGTCCAGCAATGTAGGTGTTCCTTTCCAAAACATTTTTCAGTGGTTGTAATGAGATGCATTACTTTTTAAGTAACAGTGGGGAGTATGATTTGTTTGCCATAGTTCCCTACAATATACTTGTACTGATCATGGTAAATATAAAATGTTTCAGGAACATATTTAACTGTTAGTGTTCAAAGTGAATAGTGATTTTATTATTCTAGAATTTGTAAACTTCTATATTTCATTAATCTTGAACAAGTACTGAAAGAAAATGAAACTAAATTTTTAGGTCCCACAGATCACGTGGTCTTGGCCCACATTGATTTTCTGTGCAGCAAACATGTAGTTTCTCTAATGCTGTCCACCAGAAGCCTCGATTTTAAGCATTTCTTTCGAATTATAATTCGAGTGTAATTTTACTTTGATTTACATCAGTGTGTAGTTTTACATTTAAATCTAATAGTTTTCTTTATATTTGCAGCAAAATAAACGCAAGACACAATTGCAGCCTGCCAAACCACGTGTGTTGATTTATTCACGTGACATTGGGCCTCGTACTAATCAGGAGAAAGATGATGATTGGAAGCTTATTGCTGCTACGAAAGTTGGAGGTGAGTATATTGCATTCATTGAATTGAAGAAAATGGAGAATTGAAGAGATTGTGGTAAATTGTTTATTTTATAGCCTTCTTTGTGAAGTCTTCTTAATTTTCTTGTGTGTTAATATATGCTCTTTTTCTAAACTATTTTTTAATCCTCATTTCTGCCTTTTCATTTCAATGATATTGATATTCTTGTTGTGTAAGTGTAGTTTGTATGTAAAAATTGAAGTTTATAGTAGTTCATTGAAATATGATTTTATTTAAATGCCGTAGATATGACTCAAATTGTATGCAATAATATTTTAGTTTTTTGGATGTAAATTTAAATATGAACTGTTTTGTTGTCCCACAGAACACAATTTCTTGGCCCTTGTTGTTTTAAATGGCTATTTGACAACATTGTCAGTTCAACTGAGGTGCAGCCAACCCCTTTCCCCTTCACCTGTGGCCACCCCTATCACGAGCCGGCCGGCCAGTGAAGAGAAACCAGACCTTTATTGTGTGATGCCAAACATGAGTTCAGTCAAATGTGCTGTGGGATGTGCCAACCTGAACAATTCTCTGCTTGTGTGCGGTGAGTTCTCACAAGAAAAGGAAAATATTTTGTCACATAGTCACTTGAAATGCAGTTTCCATCCATGTAGTTTTACTTTACTAATTGATGAAAACATGATTAACAAATTGTAATCTGCACCTTTCTGTTTTATAGGAGGCTATGATCGCGCAGAGTGTCTGCGCATTGTGGAGGCCTATGATCCTCAACACAACAGTTGGGCTTCTCTGCCTCCCATGCGTGAGCCACGTGGGCGCTTTGATATTGCTGTAGTTCGCGGGAAGGTGTATGCTGTTGGTGGGAGCAATGGGTCCTCTGAATTGAGCACAGTGGAAGTGTTTGACCCGGAGCGGCAGAAGTGGTGCAGCATTGATCCTCTGCCTCTGGCTCGCTGCAACACAGGCATGTGACCCCCTCAAGTGCGCTCCAGGCACTCCCAGGAGTGGCCTTGAGGCACTTCCAGTGACTTCCTCTTTCCTGTTTCCAAGCCCTGTGAGGAACAGAGTATGAGTGTGTGTGTCTGGTGTTGGTGTATCTGGTGCAGTTCGATGCGTCATCTTACTAACACGTGGCAGGCAGGGTGTTGACTTCTGGGGAGTGTTGCCTTTGCTAATGGATTCTTCATGCAAATTTTCTACCTTCAGGCGTGTGGATTTGTATAACAATTGTTTATAGAATTGACTCATGGGAGTAAAATAACTGAAAAATTAGAGACCTGGGGATAAAGTTGCAATAGATTTTAAAAATCTGTTTTCTTATTGTAATGTTACGTTTTTGTTTGTTTGTTTTTGGTAATAGTTTATAGTAGTTTTATTACATCCTGAGGTAATAAATAGACCCTAACGATAAGGAATATTTTAATTATTTTGCATGTAGATGCCATAGGAAAACGTTACAAATACTTTTTATCTGCAGTCTCATGAAATGAAAAGATATCTCAATTCACGTGCAAGTGATGAAATCGTTTGCAATCAATTGTTGTATATACAAAATAGTAATTAAATTAATATGGAGGAAATGGGTATTTGTCATTCAGATTGGGAGTAAATATCATTATAGCAAAAGTTTGTTATATCTTGAAGAGTTGGAATAATGTGTGGGTAGGTAGGGGAAAGATGTGATTTTAATTTTTGCAGTACGCGTTTCTCCATTTGATAGAACTTGGTGCTGCAATCCAGAAATGCATTGGTCTCTCTCCCAGAAGCTTCTCTGTGGGCCCAGTGGTATGCTAAACAACTTGATTTGATAGTTGTTGATGGTGTTTGTGGGTTTTATTGTCCCTAATGTAATGTACTAACTTGTGTCTGTCTGTCAAGACCATAGGAGATTCCTTCCTTGTTAAAAAGTGTTGGAGGGGAATTACTTCTACATCATAACGTAAAGCTTCTGACTTAGTTCTTTGCCCATATTACTTATAGAAAGTCTTCATAATGTAGCATTGTAAATACTTTCATTTACTTTTACTTTAATAAAGTATTATGTTCATATTGGTGTATAAGAATATATTTAGTAATATTGTATAGAAATTTTGTGAATTTCATTTCCCTCCCTCTGTTTCAATTTTGTTGTTGATTTTTAAAGAAACCTTATTCTTGTCAATTAACTAAGATTCCTTGAATATTAGTATTATGTAACCAAATGCAGATTGGAAAAATAATTGAATCACTTGTTTAATAAGTCAAGGAAGGAATACTTTTCTGGTCTGGATGAGGTAGTGTATTCTCATTGCAATTTTTGTTCGAACATGCCATAATGACATTGTTTAGATTAAGAAAGTACTTGTGAAAGGCAAACAGTCCTTCAGGAGCATTTTCCAGAGTTGAGGCTTGAGAGTTGAATATGTATGGTGTGTTCTTCTGAACGCTTCTGTTCCCAGATCTGGGATGCTTGAATAGGCAAATAGTCTGTTCCAAAGGGCTGGCTGCGCCCGGAACAGTGGTAGGTGCAGGTAAGGTCTCGGAACCAGCTGTTTCATAAGTCACACCCACTGCTCTCGCTCTACATGTTTTTAACGAATCCACTATCAGAAAGGTTGACTGACGCCTTCAAAATTAGGCCTGTGGTTTTCTAATTATGTGGGTACAGAGTGAAGTTACCTAGTTGTCATTTGTACAATAACTCTTCTGGCTTAAAATTGATATGTATGTCCACAGCGTATGTGATTACAATTAAATTACCAACTTAAAAATTTTAATTCTTCATAAAATGCTATTTGTTACGTTTCGCAATAACAATTCATTATTTTGCTGAAAATGTTTGGCAAGTTTCTTTGTGCTGCGAACATGCTGTTAATTTTTTCGTGAAGAGCTAATGTTTTGAGACATGGACTTGTGACTTATGAAGCAGAGCCCACTTGGGCTCGGCCAAGCCTAGTGCTGTAGAAATATCTCTCAGGGCCATGGATCAGCCATGGACGCTGGACGTACCCATGCCAAGCGTTCCATGACAGGTAACGGCTCAGCTGTTGTGTGTGCTCCGTTGCCAGATCGACTCCATTAAAACGTCTGTTTTTCCCATTTGCTTTTCAGCAGTTGTGTTGAGGAGAGCATGGGTGATGAGGTGTGCTGGACGATGATAAGAAGAGCTAGCTGGACGCACGCACGCCTTTTCTAAGCCATTTTGACATTCCACCACACTGAGGCTCTGAGCCTGCTGACAGTTTCTGTTGGAACCCCAAGTGTGTGCGGGGGGAGTGCTTTTGGATTCTGGTGTGTGCTGAATATTGCTGTACTTTGTTACATTTTATTTTTTAGTATCATTTTCTTCACAGCCTTACATTTGCCCTGGAAACAATACTCTGTGGATCTAACGTTTTTTATTTTGTATCTCCTTTATTACAAAATTTCTTTTTGAATTTGTTTCACAGCGCAGAACTTTATTTTAGCTACCCAATATGTTTTTTAATGATTATGATAACATAACATTTTGGTGCAATACATTTCTAAATTATTCTAGGTTTTCAATGAGGAAAGATTGATGGTAGCTGTAAGTTTTCCAGAATTCAAATTTATTTGCATGGTCATTGGAGGATTTGTCAAAGGGAATTCTTAAAATCCATTCAGTCACTTCCCAGTGTCCAAGCGCTCTTCTCCCAGGCACACAGGGGTCCCTACATACCACACACAACCACACCATCCACACTGTCCCATCGCTTGCTGGTGAGTAGTCTCTTGACTTGTTTTTAAGTGTACTGGTATCTCTGTAACCAAAGCCTTGAGCAAAACTTAACGTATGGCCTCAGCCACCCTGTGATATGAGTTTCTACATGGAGGGAAATGCTCCTGAATTTTTTTGAAGAGATTTCCATAAAGAGATATGTTCTGTTCTGTTTTTATTATTGCAGCAGTCAGTAGAAGTGAAGCTTTAATACAGGATTTGTTGACAAACTGTAATTGTGTTAGTGCATAGAATAATTCAGACTGTAGAATTTAAAGCATGCAAAAATTATTTCATGTTTTGAGTTTAGTTGGTTGTATTTGTTTTGTTTTTATTTTATTACTGATATTCTGGCGGAAGCGTGTGAGGATGTTCTTGTAGTGCAAGTGCACACGTGTTTGGGTGTGTTCTGAAAGAATGAATGCATCCTTCAAGTTTTTAATTTTTTTCTTTCCATTAAAACTCCTTTGCTCTCTGTTAAGTATAGTATGGAACTGCATTGATTAAACTCTGATAGACTGCTGTTGATTGTCTGTACTCTTTTAGGGCATGGCTGCGACTTACTGTAACACATAGTGTCTTGCCTAGCAGTTCCTGATTCCTTTACTATGTATACATTAGACAAAATCTTTAATGAGCATTGAAAAATAACATATACTTAGCCATTTTAGTCTTTTACAGAGAGGAACAAGCTTTTATGTCTTATCTGACTTAATGATTTTTTTCTTAATTACTTGCTGCCAAAATGTAAAACTATTTTTTCACACAGTGGTGCATCGTGCTATACTTCATTCTTTATGAATACTTGCTGATACTTTTTATGTTCGATCATCACTAGTGTTTTTGCAGGCTCCTAGCTAATCATAATACCAGCATGTTCAAAATGTTCTGTTTTCATGCATGTAAGCTCTTTAGTTGATCTTTAATTTAATTCAATTGTTTTATTGTATTTATATTTTCATTATGGACATCTGATGTTTCCTTGCACTTCTTAAAGTCATTCCTTTTTTTGTAATGATATCAGAGCCACCATTTCCTGTTTCTCCCTTCCTATCCTAGGCATTGCATTTTAAGCATTCAGGCTGATGGTCCTTCGAAGAAATAGCTAGGGCAGGCCAACGCACATATGCACATTTGCATTCAGTGCAAATTCTGTTTCTGAACAGCCACCTAGAACATGCGGTGTGCTTTTTGTTCACAGGAGTGTGCGATCTGGATGACAAGGTGTATTGCATTGGGGGCTGGAATGGCCAGGCAGGCATCAAACAGTGTGATGTTTATGACCCTGATACCAACAAGTGGGCAAGCATTGCCCAGTTGCTCACAGGTAAAAAAGTTATTTTATGCAGTATTCAAATAACCTCCATTGCATTTTCTCCTTCACTTGTGGGTGTCTCCTCCCCTTCATGAGTCCTCCTTGTACATTTTGTGAATTCTTTCAGGTCGCTATCAGGCTGGAGTATGTGCAATGGATGGTAAACTATTTGCTGCTGGTGGCTGTGATGCATGGAATTGCCTCAATACTGTGGAAGTATATGACCCCAAAGAGAATAAATGGGAGTTTGCCAAGAACATGATCACTGCTCGAAGAGGTTGTGGACTTGCTTATTTCAAAGGTGAAAATCCTGAGTTTCAATACCCACAATTTTTCCGGGTTTTGTTATATTTTCATGAAAGAAGTGTGAAATATTTAGAAATGGAAATGAGGCAAAATATTTAAAATTCATAAATGAAAATGTTATGCTCCTAGAAAACTGCTTAATTCTTTCCAAATTGTTCGGTTTTAATAGTAAATATTTACACTAATCGGTTGTAGAGAGTAACCTTGAGAAATGCTGAGGACAGAGTTGTTAAATTGATAATCGTAGTCACATGCATCCTCTGTGATCTGCAGAAACATACAGAAATATGAAAATCTTTTCACAATGAAGAGCCATACATTCATGATCATTCCCATCATTTGTTTTTTACTTGCTTTGTTGCTTGTTAGTGAAAATACATTGCAACAAAATGTTTATTCTGTATTTTAATTTTGGTGTTAATTCTAAAATTAATAAGATATTTAAGAACAAGCAGAATGAGTAACACAACAATTACACAATGCAGTGTGCAAGCAATATCACTTAAAATGAATTGACAACCTTTGTGAGAAATTATTGATTTGAGAAAGCATAGCCACTAATTAGTATCAGTGAAGTAATTAGTATGGTGTTTTTTTAACACTAAGTGCATTCTAAGTATCCTTATTTTCAAATGTTTAATTTTTCTCTTAAAGTGTGCTTCAAGTGCATTGCATTTTTGTAAATTATTTTTTCAGTATTCCCTTTTCACTGTTAGTTTTCTGTATTGCAGTTATGATGCTGAAAGATATAGACACTTGGTATAGTAGTTGTAAACTAAATGCTTGTTTTTCAGGCAAACTGTATGCGGTGGGTGGCTCTGATGGCAGCCATTCTCTGTCGTCCACAGAGATTTTTGACCCCAAAGACCAGACATGGACACCTGGACCCAGTATGACAACACCTCGAGCCAATGTAGCTGTAGCTGTCATTGGCAACAGGTTATATGCTGTCGGTGGCTTTTCAGGTATACCACTTCAGTACTTATGAAATGGAATAAAATGGTTAAATAAGGAAAAGATAAGGAGAAAATGTAACTCCTTCAAATTGTAGTCATAATTACTTGCTCTAAATGGCAACCTAGTTGTCGCTATACCAAACCTGAATTTTGCAATTTTAAGATGCTCAAATTATTCTTGTTACTATATCATGACTATCTCCTTAAGTTAATGTTACTGAGATATAGTATATAATAAATATTACTGAGATTGAGTATTATTAAATGTAAGTTCTGCCTTGAATTGGAACACAAGGATAGATGCAACATCAAATAAATAGAGTCATTAGAGGACATTTCTTGTGTGTTACAGGCAAGACTTTCCTGAACAGTATAGAGTACCTGGATGAGTCTACTGATGAGTGGACAACCTTTGTTCCAAAAATATCTCTCTCGACTGAGGCAGAGCGTGCAAGGCTGCTGGAACACAGTGTTGCAGCTTTTGCAGAATCACTCAACTCCCATCCTCTTGACATGACGGAAAGCACCCCAGAAGTTCCCTGCTCAGTTCCAAGTTAGAGGCTTGTTATGCCATCGAACACCACCAATCTGTGTTTGTGATAAAAAGACTTACTATTTCTGTGTGTCTCTGTATAAAATGGTCTCCTTGTTTTCTCCCTCTTTGAAATCGAGGTGTTTCTTGTATAGTCTGTTGTGCTATCTTTGTACCACTTACTACATCTGACCACAGTATTAAATGCAGTTATTGGCATTGGCTTGACACTAGAAATATTATTGGTTCCTGTAAAACTTTTTGTATGTTCAAGATTGCATTTTATTTTTTTCAAAATTAGTTCCTGTCTGGAACCAAAATTGTTGAATGGGAAGCCTGTTTGCCCAGAAGAGCCAATATTCAGTGATCTCGAATTGACTTTGTCATAGTATGATTTGATTTGTTTATTGTATGTACATTACCAAACCATGAATTGCATTTATCAGAAAAGAACAGGGTTTGACTGAGTCTCAATTTTATGGATTTCGACAATTGACCACCATTTGTAATTAATCATCAATATTATTTTTCTGAACATGTTTAGTAATTTTCTATGACATCAACCTTTTTACAGAAGAAAAATATATTCTATGTAAAATTGATTTTCAAGTATTAAATGAGTAATCATCATAGGTCTAATGTTGAAATATTATTTGTGAAGTACATGCATTATGATTGTATAATGGATGTAGAGCATGATGCAGTAGTATTACTCCTTGCATTATGAATAAAATTCTAAGGAGTTATTTGTGTTTTTATTTTTCCTATTGCGAGGCCTCTTTACTTCAATTTATTTTGCAAGTGTGAAGTTGGTTAATTATTGCTAATAGCTTTTGATTTTCTAGGCATTCTACCAAACCCCCAGATGAAATTTATGGACCTTGAATTTGACTCCTAACAATATATTTGTAATACATTGATGCTTGTGAAGGTTCATATAAAAGATTGGTGATGTGTAGAAAACATCCAAGCCATCAAGATGTTCAAGCCATGCAAATTTGTGAAAAACCCTTTGAAAGTTGTGACATCTCTAAAACATTAGGAGCAGAAAGGATGCAAATGAAAAGTTCATCTATGTGGAATGAATATTTACATCTTATTCACATTAGTTTTTCATAATTCAATGAAATAAGATGATTTGTGGTGTTCTGTAATTTAAGAATATAAGCACAGCACAAGACTTCTGTTATGGTACAGCTATGCCAACCTAAGTGAAATGCAGCAGGCAAAATCATTTGTTCTGTCAGTGTTATGCATGCTGTATACACGGAGGTGGTGTTGCTTTCCATCTGTTGGAATATGACCTACTCATCAGCCTCCAGGTTTATTCCTTCCCCTGCCACATTTTTCTTAATGGGTCACTGCCCCACCATTACAAACTACATTTGATCAATGAGAGAAGAATTCAGTTGTTATAATAGCAGGTGGCCTAAATATATGAATAGAAATAGATAGACTTGAAGGATAAGTAGGAGAAGAAACTATTAGAAATGATGAAAAAATACTAAGATTTTGGTTTAATAAACTGAAAATGACTAACTCCTCCTTGAAGCTCAAAGAAAAGCATATTAACATGGGAAGGAGAAGTGTAATCAATCAATTCCATTATTGAAAGAGATGATATATTTGATAAAATACAACAATCAACATTGTCAGAGGAAACGAACTAGACACTGCTCACTACCTCCTGGAAAAGGAAACAAATTACAGCAAAACTCAAACTTAAAATACCTCGTGTATTTTAAGAGGATTTGTTAATGATAATAAATTCAAAAAACAATAAAACAACAACAAAAAAACACACACACTTGAGAAATTAACTACAAAATTTCCAGACCAACCGTAAAATGAACGATAAAGGAAGCTGCCAAATAAATCTTAGGATTCAAAAGACTGAAAAAGAAGAAATTCTTAAGATGCTGGGGTGAAGTTCAAGAAGCTATTCTAACAAAAATAAATAAATAAAACACCTTATGAAAAATACAGAAAAGAAAAGTGGAGGACTTAATGGTGGAAGAGAGAAACTAAAATAATCAAGAGAATAGTGGCAGATACTGGAGATGAACACCAGAGAACCACATATTTGGCTTAAAAGTGCTAAGAAGTGTGCATACTTCACTTCAAAGTGCTTGGAGCTCAAACAACAGGCAAAGGGGAGAAGTCAGGGAAAGAATGAATAAAACATACCATACTAGAAGAGTTGCAATCACAAAACAGACATGGCATTTTGCAGGGAAATGTAACTAGGGGAACTTCAAAGTCAAACAGAAAAAGTCCTGGAATATAAGAAATTAACTCATCTTCTTAAATATAGAGGAAGAGTGTTGAAAACAATTTTGGCAGAACTCTTCAATGGTATTTAATATGATCCCTACAGAATGGCAGACAGGTTGGTAGTAAATGCTTAACACGTTGACTGCCGTGAGTCTGCCGGTGACGACAATGGTTACTCACGCAAGATACTGCGTGGCCCTCGGCAACCTCAAGTTCTTGTCTGCTTCCATGTGATATATTTTTAATGTGTATGTGGGTAAAACAATAGCCGGATTGTGGCCCCACGACATACAACTTAGATGTCACGGTGCCTATAGATAATATCTCTAATTTGTGAGATATCATCAGTTGGTTTTTGGTAATTGTGTTTGCTTCTTACTGACCATTCTGCTGGTGATTTCTTACTTTTCTGCACTTGAATTAGTATTTTTATATTTTATTGAGTCAGATACATAGGAAATCAGGTGAAATTTTGTTTCTTTCTTACATTATTTAAATTTTTTTGAAAAATATTCTTAAGATTTTATGCTGTCATAGTTTATAATGTTGAACACTGTAAATAATATTTTTGATACCCACTGAACTATTGTATATTCTTGTTTTAGTTTTAAATGGATCCTGAACTGTGGGACATCACGTAAAAATAAGTGATGACGAAAGTCAGAAATGACAGTTATGGACAAGAAAGAGTTGGTAAGGATTTTGGAAGAATCAGAGTTTGAATTTAATGGTTCAGAAGGATCCAATTTCTGTGATGAACTAGGTTTGTTTGTTGACGATGATGAAGACTGTGTTGATAGAAACTTTGTTAAGTGTAATGAAGATGTTATTCATTCAGCGTGTAGTAGGGAATGGTATGATAGCAGTAGTATTTTGAAAATAATTTTATTTACTGATCAAGAAAAGTACGATTATAAAT